CCCCAAAACCCCAAAACCCCAAAACCCCGTGAATAGATAATATGATAATTTAAGAAATCGATAAATTTGAAAATAGTAAAAAAATATCAGAATATATTTTTAATTTTGATTCATTTTAGATTCCAAATTTTGTAAGTCTTATTCATTTGAAAAAGTCTTATTGCATTTCCTATTCATTTTGAGTAATGATCTGCTTGATCGTATTAAAGCTCTCATGATTAGCATCACTCTATTCTGGGTTGATTTAAGCCTCCTTGTCACCATCGGAGTCTCTAGCATCTTTAAAGAACTAATCATGGTCTACTTCCTCATCTTAGTCATCAACTTTTGCTTCTTCGACACCAGCTCTCCGAGGTATCTATTGGCTTTCCTATAACTTCTTCTCGTTTTCTAATCTAATAACTCTGAATTGGTAGAAGTCCCAGTTACAATCCTCATAGCAATCCTCCACATGGGGTTGCCAGATGCCATTATTATAGTAGTTCATTTCTTCGGTCTATAAAGTAATGACTATGATCATAGCTTACAACTAAGTGAATAAATGGAGTTTTCTAGTATTCCCTCATCAATACTCTGTATCTCTCATGCTATATATAAGTATGTTAGACCAGTATAGATCTTACGAAACTCTTGCACAGAGGAACATTTCCAATGCAGTCCTGAATTTTACATCTGGCTTCTTATATAAACTCGACAGCATTTCGCTCCCACTCAACAAAGTGCTCATATATCTCTTTATATTACACCTTCTCAACACTCGTAAACATAAAATAGAGTCTATCGCCCTCTTATATTAACTTTTCATACTCCTTAACATACATCATTTTAATATACGACAATCTTACATCTATTCTACGATTCTTTCTGGCGAGGTTGAGACACTCTCTAACCCGGTTCAGCCAGCTAGTATATTCATTCAGCAAGTTCCTTAACTCATCCACCTTCTACTTATCCTCCTCAGTTTTAATCATCTCCATTTATTCAAACTAATCAATAAGATTTACACAGTCACCATATTCAACAACTCCTGAGGAGAACAACTTATTCAACTCGTACTCCACTCTGCTGATTTCCTAGTTAGTAGCTGTGTTGATTTCGTATTCATCAACCATCTATTCGTTCTATAGGTGCATATGCTATTAATGTAAGTGAGATGGCATCTCCTAAGGTATAATCATATTGTTTTAAGGTGATGAATATTGTTACTGCATCTAGTAGAGCTGCTACTGCTATATGCTATTAGCACGATACTTGCCCGAACCTGGAATCTGATGCTGCATTTTCTAGGGGTTATGCATCATTTAAGGAGATTAGTAAGATTGCTGCTAAGTGCCCTGCAAGAGCTTCTGTAATTACTTAATCATATGCTTTAAGCTCTAGTCATTTTCAATCTTCAACTCTAATGATTGAGATATGAGCCGCTTAATGTTCCTTTTATATTGTACTTTATTTTGCTTAAGAGTGGTTCCTTAGAGTACTCTCTAGCACTCCTGATACCATTTTCTTTGCTTCATTATAAGAATGAGTTCCTCCGCCTCATCCAATTCGATTGGGAATGACTCACTCTCAAGATACAGTTTTAACATCTGCATAGAGATGTTATCAAGTGAGTTAAGCTTGCTAATAGATTACTGCTAACTAGATTAATTCTGCTTGGGTTGTTGCTATTCATAACTGTAGTCATATTGATCTAGTAACGAGTACTCCAGATATTATTGTACAGTATCCAGCCATTTTTCAATCTTGTATTCAAGGACTTTCATTTCCTCCATCTCCTCGAGGAATATAGGGATATCGAACTCACCCTATTCTATCAGTGCCTTAAAATTAGCATAATTTGACCTTCTCCTTTCTGTAAATCTTTCTAAGTGAAAGTCCTCTTAAATAATTTGATCATCTCTTTGCTGTTATTGCTAAGCTTATTGCTAGCTTTCATTCCACATTTCAAAATTATACCTAACTCTGGCACACCCAATGCAAATATACTAATTAATCTTTCCTGCAGCATCCTTCTTAACGCCTACACAATCGCCGTGGAACCATTCCTTACAAGAATCACAGCCAATCATGAATGCTATCCCATCATCGCCTCTGCGACATAGACAGTACTGCTTGTTGTCGTAGTACTTATACTCAGTTATCTGTTGAAGTCCAGTTGGTCTATAAACCTATTACTGAACTTAGTTGTGATCCTTATCTTTTTTAATTGATAGCTGTTGTTCTCCAAGTATTTCTGAAATTTATAAAAGATTGTCTGGATTCCTTGATAAAATTAGAACCAAGCCTGACACAGTCTAAGACTATTCATTATTTGTTAGATCTTGCCTATCTGACTGACTGTTTGGTGGTTACTCCAGCATTTTAACTATAACTTGCTAATGCTAGAGGGCACAGAGTTCTCGGGACTTGAGTACTTTTCTCGCAATGCTTTTCCAATGAGCACAGAACTCGACTATTTACTTCAAAATCTCAATCTCCTTTTCATTAATATCTAGCTGTATGCCAATATCTATATGTTTTCTCAATACCTCATAATTGAACTCAGGAAACTTCTTCTGGTTAAGGATTTGCTTTGTTTTATTTTTCCAGTCAATAACATCCTAATAGAAGCTCCTCAACTCGACATAGTCACTAAGATTAATTCTGAGTAGATTACCCATTTCTAATAGTCTTGAAATTTCAGCTGGCTTTGAAACATCCGCTATCTATTGTTGCTGATGCCACTCTTTGCATTATACTAATTACTGTTTCAACTGGATTGATAGTTTTTTGCATCTGAAATCTTCCTGGATGTCGGCATGATTCGAATCTTTGACCAGAGATTCTACTTATTTGAGTTTAACTTTCTCAGCTTGGTAAAGTTCAGCCAGCTTCTTCATCCATCTCTCTCTTCTAAGTTACTTCTAAACTCTCTGCTATTTATTGATAGGCAGTGGTAGATACTCACCAACTAATTTCTCCAGAGTCTCAATCACTTATTGATTATTAAGGAAAGCAGAGTCAAGCTCAAATTCATCATCCTCCTAGGAAATAATCTACTGAATTTGCTGATCGAAGTTTTCTTGCATTATCATGTCTTTTTTAGTGAAGCTTCTCTAGGTGTCAAGCTCATCTACCTTTGAAATCCAGTAATTTACTCTAGTCTCTATTTGTTTCAAGGTGGTGTAGTCATTTGTATCTTTTATAATTTTCAAAGAGGTCTCTGCCTGTGAAAGTAAGCTTATCAATATATCATAGTCTTGGAGATCCATATCAATTTCAATTGAGAGCTATTGGTTATCATTCACCTGATTTAGCTATTCATTATCAAACTCGTCTGAAGAAGACATGCTATCATAGTCTTACTAGTCTAGCAGTTTTAACTAGTTGTAAGTAGTTGACTAGCTTTTCTCTTCTTATATACTTTTGAAATAGGTCTTGATAATCATTCTTGATCGCTTTATCCATCTGAGGAGTGGTTTGATCTTCCTCTTAAAAAGCTAGAAAGTGCTGCTTCTAACACCTAATTTAGTGATTTGCTGTCTCAACTGAAGCAGCTACTTCAGGAACTCGTTTGAAGTGAGATTCTTGCTTTTAAGTTCAGTATTGTTGAGAAAATCTTGTGATTATGTGTAGACCTTGCATCTGTGATCAAAGTTCTAGACTTCTTGAATAACCAGATTAAGTTCGTCAATTTCATTCATTTGTACTTTAAGCTTTTCTCCTTCTTCCTAGAGTTCAATAAGTCTTTCAATAGAGATCTTTGGCTTTGAGTCTTTGTTTGAGCTGGCAGACTCCTTGATTTCTTTCAGCACTTTCTTGATTTCTGTTTCATACTGATTGGCTTTCAAGCACATCTCTCCTATCCTTATGATGATATCGATTTAAATGTCTGAAAAGCCTTTGCTTTCACCTTCCTGCATGATATCTTATAGTTTACTCAAGGGTACTTTTTAGGATTTCTACTCCATAGGCTCTATGAAATCAACTACATCTTTCATTTCCTCGTCATTTCCAGCTTCACTGCCTTTTCTACTACTGTGATTACTTCCATGTGAACTTTGCTCACTTTTGATATTGTTCATCTGATTCCAAATCTTAATAACCTTTTCATGCCACTCAAGGAACTCAAGTCTTCTCTAGAGATCCTCGGTGAGCTCAACTTCAAACTTAAACAAAGCAGTTTCCCTCAACAGTTGCAGAAACACTTCCTTCCTTTGTCTCTATTCATGCTCGTCTTCTAAGAACATCCATACTCTATTCTTCCACTAGTCCACATCCTCCAGATGCTCTCTAAGCTTCTGTATCTCAGGATTGGTAATCATGAGTTCATCAGCTTCTCTTAGCAAGTCCTTGTACTGCTGCTCCTTCTGCCTTTTTTCTTTCTTTATCAGATCTTGCTGCTTCTTTCGTTCCTTAGCCGAGGCAGCTGAACCTCTATCATTAGCCAAATTGCTGTTGGATAGTTCTTGGTTGACTTATGTACGGGTCTTATTGACTTTGATAAAGGTTGAGTGGATGCGTTCTACCAGTTAGACACTGTCGTTAGAACGCTTCTTCAGTTCTTCGAATAAACCCTCGAAGTTGACTGGGATGCTGCGAGACTCTTGCTAAATGCTTTGTAGCTGCTTCACATTGACGACTTGAGTCTTAATGAGTTCCGCCTTTTCAATCCATTGCTGAGATTTCTTGACATACTCTGCTAGTTGCTGCATTTCTGGAGTGATTATTTGGTACTTCAATGATTCATCCTGCATTTAAAGCAAATCACTCAATCTCATCTTCTTTTCGTTAGGAATTTGAGCAGCAGCACCTCCTCCAGTTTGAGGTCCACATTTTTTCTTGATGACTTTAGAGAAATCCTTGCTTTTAATGAGTTCCTGTTCGATGTCTGGAGGCATCTCGACCCTTAGCTTTTTGAGCATCTGCTGATAGTGGCCAAGTTCTTCGACAGTGATCCTATTGGTCTTCATATCATTTCTCACACTTTAAATGGCTTCATCAGCCTCAACGCTTTTGCATCCTCTAAGATCAATTATGGCATCATTGACTATACTCTCAAGTTCTTTGTCATTTATTGAATTAAGAATCTCGTCTCTCTGCTCAGGTATGGCCATCACAGTTGGGTAGAGAATGTGAAACTTTGCCAGGTTGAAATTATAGTTGTACTCGTGAAGCAACTTCATAGCCTTTTCCTAGTACCCCGCCAATGAGCCCTTCAGCCACAGTCCGTTACAAGACGCATTGTGGGTCTCACGCATAATGAAATCGCACAAGTCTAAGTACTCCTGCAAAGCCTCATTTTTATTATCTTTATTATCTACATTGTAAACCATCACCTCTACTTTTTGTAACTATGGGCTAATCTCAGTTATATCTTGTTTAATTTCTTCTGTATGCATATTAATTGCATATTATTTATTGTGATTAGCCTCGTCAGGTTTGCTAAACATTGGTCCAGCTACTTCACTAGCTAGAGGCTGACCATGAACTAAGATTTTTTTCCTTGACTAAAATCTGACAGTGATGTCATTGTCAAAAGACTAAGACCTGCGATTTCTCTTTCCTAGATCACTAGCTTTGACATCCCCTTTAATAGAATTGCTGTTGAATGCTTAATCTCGAATTTGCAATTTGATCTTGCCCTCATTTGGTAATCTCTTCTCCAAATGCTGCTAAATTTATTAATCATGAGCGGGTGCTTGAAATTTATTTAGCGGTGGAATAGACTCTTTATTAACTTGGTATTTATCTTGGTCAAGTCTGGGAGGCTTCCATTAGTGCTGAACTGGGAGACCTCCGAAGTTACCTGCATTAGTCTTTTTATTCTACTTCTCTAGTTTCTGCTTGCTCATCTAGAACCAGTCACAGGCTCCATCCATTCCCTAAAATTTACATACCAATTTCTCAAATTAGTCACTGTTCAGATTGATCTCTCCTCCCATAAAAGACGCTGCTTAGCCTTTTCCTTTTACGCTTTTTCTTGACTTCTTCTGATTGCTATTGTGCGAACTAGAAACATTATTTTGTTGAGTTTTATCCTCAATATTTGTAGTACTCGTATTGTTATTCATTCTTGATAGTTATTCTAAGAGTTTATAGCTATCTAGTCTACTTTAAGATAGAATGTGAGAGAGAGTAAAACTTTAATAATTAATTATAAATCAATCACTTAAAGATCTAATATATTCAGATATCAATTATTCAATCTATCAATTATACATGCCCCCATAGACTTATCCACCTCCTATTCCTTTGCCTATTTGGGGTGCTCCATAACTCATCTAAGATCTTTCAATTCCTTCACCACCTACAGTCTTAGCATAGAGATCCTTATTAGTCTAAGGCACTAGTAAGTCCATAAGATTACCAAATCTCACATGCCCGTCACCATTCACATCTAGGATATTTAAGAAGTTCGTAACCTCTTCTTGACTTAACGGATCTCCAATTCTAGTTAGTACATGTCTCATCTCGTCAATTGGTAGCATGTTGTTATCTTCCTTGTCAAATACTGAAAATGCATTTTTAATTTCACCTGGATTATCATCTTTGTTAACAACTTCAGCCAAACAAGCAATGAAATCGTTAAGGTCGATTGTACCCGTGCCATCTGGGTCATATTTCTTCAAAAGGGCTTTGACTTCATTATTTGAAACTAAAGCTCCCATAGCTCTCATTGCCAACCCTACGTCTTCAGATTTCATAGTGCCATCACCATCTCTGTCAAAAAATATAAAGGCTTCTTTAAACTTTTCTAATTCAATGTCAGTAAATTTTTCATCGAAACCATACATTGGGTCCTAATGTCTATACTCATCTTACCCAATCTATATAGATTGAAAGTTAACATAATTAATGATTATACCTCTGGCTTGATAAGATGACCATGTCGATCCATATCCTAAAGATCCATGATAGTAGCTCCAGCAGGTTACCTCATATTCAATGCTTTCCAGTTCTTGTTCTTATTGGAATTTGGATTAGCAGCATTAGGTTTTTTCTTTCTGCTTTAATTCATATTTTGATTCTATAATTAGTATTGCTTCATTTAAGGATGTACCATTGATTGAGTGTTAGTAAAGCCATTGTAGTTAGATGGCTGTTGATTCAGGTTGTTTCTTAATCTACTGTTCATTAATTTCCTTTTATAACTTAAATCTACAATTAATGAAATTAAGATTAAATTAAACAAATATCAGATGGGTAAAAATTAAAGCTTTATCAATCATAATCCTATTTATCACTCTTTTCAAAAAATCAAACTGGCTATTAAAATCATTCCAAAAGCCATAGTATTAATAACTGCGGTTTTCAAAGCTGCAGAAATCAGCAATCTGCCAAGCTGGGCACCACTTAAGTATACTTTTCTTGTTCCGATTGGTTTTATATCTCTGAAATTTCCAGAGGGTGAGCTCATAAGAGACTTCAAGCTGTTTATTTGTTAGGTTGAGATCGGCTGTATGCTCTTAATGACAATCCAAGTGACAGTCTCATTGCATTATGGCTCTGTCAAGCTGCCATAGTAGAAGTAAAAGTCCTAAGGGACGAACTGAAGGTATTCTCTAATGGGTATTTCTAAAGACCCTGCCTAATGAAAAGATTAGTTTTAATAATTGTGATTACATACTCTTGAGACGTAGTCTTGGAATTTGAATGATTCAACAAAGCATGTCTTTGCTCTGGGAGCTGCTAGAAAAGCTTCCTCATCAAAAAGGATTGAAATGACAAGTTTTCGATTGGTGGCAGGCTGCATGTGATAGATTTACAACTCAGCTGAGTATTGCCTGTTGTCAACAGTATGTTCACTCTTTAATTTCCACTGCAAAGAGTCTAGCTTGAATTTCTAGTACTCTCCTCTCTCATTCCAAAAGTCAATAAAGCTGCTGGCATTTTGATTGCTCTCAATAAATATCTTGTTGCCCTTGTCCTGCACCTTCAAAGTCTAGTCTTCAATCGAATCGTAATTCACTTGAAACTTGACCAGTGAATTCAAAACCAAATCTGGAGTTGCTATGTTTACTGGTGATTGTCTGATTCCAGTGGCGCAAGTTCCATCCCAATTCTTTCCATTCTGAGAGTAATCTACAGCTTGAATAATACTTAGCAGACTTAATAGGATCAAGGCTTGTCTTTACCTCAGTTGATGTGAAAATTTAAATTTCATTTTTGGTAACTTTGAATTATATTGATTTTAATTAATTATTACACACTCTTTTATCTTTCACATTTATCATCAAGGGGTTTTGGGGTTTTGGGGTTTTGGGG